AACTTGTCTAAAATTAAAATTAAAAATAAACTGGGCCCAAATTTTAGGAAACGATTAAATGTCTACATTCTACATAGTTTTTTTTAGACAATGAAATATTTGCTACTATACTTAAGCATTCTTATATTATTTCCCCATCACTGAAAATTTTATCACGTAACATTTCAAAAACATTTCACTGGGTTATGATTGTTGCGTTGCTTCTTTGAACAAATTTTATGGCTGATCAGTACGAATTTCTTGTTTTTTACCAAAAAAATATGTACATGACAAAAGAACCAAAAGCATATGCTCCCACTTCACCACTGCTCGCAGGAGATTATCATTTGTAAACTATTTGTCTTTAATTCTGATGATTACCTTAATAACACTTACTGACACTGATATTTCATTGGACTTCATCTGGGATTCCTCATCCTAAAAATGAGGATTTAATTTATACCACTCCTCTCACTTATATCTTCCAGTTTTTGATGCAAGAATTAAAAATAATACAGCTGTTACCTTTAGAACTTAAAATCATATTCACCTACCAGGTGTGCATCTGGATTTCTCACCTTCTGAAGATGCCCTCTTCTCTCCTTCCCATTTAACTCGCTTCTACCATACCTTTACTTTTACATTGTCAAGGCTTATTTCATTTATATCCCTGTATTCAATGTTCAATCTACCGGTTGATTCTATAAGCTGGAAACCAGTAAGTAGCATTTATAATAGTAAAAAAGTTAAACTGGGCTTAAATTAAAAAGAACTTGAGTTGTCTGATATATAGCTTTAAAGAAATAAAACTGAATAGCACACTATATAGTTAAGATTTTGAAAAAATGTAAGATTTTTTTTAAAAAATCTCTATCCGGATGAATTCAATATGAGACTTTTTTAAGTGGTATATGCTCGTCCAGGAGCACAAATCACATACAACTTGTGTAAGATGTTTTAAGTATTTATTTTCATTATCTGAACTTGACTGCTGCATTTTATGAGGAAAGGACCACATGACACATAATAGGCTTGGTGAAAATCTCTTCTCCATGGAAACCCAACAGGGTTTTCTTTCCTTCAGGGAAATGAGTTTCTTCAAACCAGGATAACAAAGTTTAAAAGATGCCACACTCAATCATCACTGACAGTGTCTGCTAGAAAGGTCTGAATATTTTGGCTTCAGAAAGAGTATAACAGACCCTTGACATTTTAAGGTCACAGTCTTGAGATCTCTGCCCAAATTCAAAACTATTCCTGGACAAGTTCATACAGGTTCCTGGTTTTCTTTAGAATTACATTTTCATCTTGTGTCATAAAGTTTTACACATACTTTCACACCCAAGTTATTAATCTTTTTCATTCCTCTCATCTGATGGCCATCATATTAGTTGGCTAGGGCTGCCTTAAAAAGTACCACAGACAAGGTGGCTTATCCAACAGCAGTGTGTTGACTCAGAGCTCTGGAGGTCAGAAGTCTAACATCACAGTATGGCCAAGGTTGGTTCCTTCGAAGGCTGTGAGGGAGAATCTGCTCCATGCCTCTACCCAGCTGCTGGTGTTTTGCTGGCCATCTTTGGCGTTCCTTGGCTTATAGAAGTGTCGCCCCAATCCCTGCCTGCATCTTCATATGGTGTTCTTCCTGTGTGCATGTTTACATTCAAATTTGCTGTTTATAAGGACACTCATTATATTGGGTTAGGACCCACCCCAATGACCTCACCTTCACTATCTACATCTGCAAAGACACCATTTCCAAACAGGATTACCTTACAAGGTACTGAGAGTTAGGACTTCAATATACACATGTGGGGGAACACAATTCAACTAACAGCAGCCCTTTTTCATATGATAAAGTTTGCCATTAATCACTACACACTATTTGACTAATTGCTGAATTTCCCATGCCTACAACAGAACCTGGCACACAGGAGCTCAATACATATATGTTGAATAAATGAGTAAATAAACGAATGAGACTACAAGTGAGGAGAAACACTGTGGATGCTGAGAGGTCAGCTAGGCGGAATCATTAGCTGCGTAATACCTTCCTGAATGGAATTTAGCAGGAATTACCATGTGCCTTGACAAAACTGCAAAATACTATATATCCCATCGATCCCTAAGGCCACTCACAAATAGAATCACAAATGTTAAAACTCACAAATGTCAAAATCCACAAAGCCCAGAAACTATGACACAGGGTATGTACTTTTAATAATGATTTCTTTCTTAAGGGAAAAATAAGTATCAGAAATAGGGTAGCAAATGATTTTAGATAAGTCAAGGAATGCATATTAGAGAAAACAAAGATCGCTAAATGAAAACAGTATCAGCCAGATACATTACAACATAATGTATATATTACAACATAGAATCCATTGCTCTAGCACTAAATCAGAGATGCCTTGTTATTATTCTCATTATTGTAATAACTAAACCTCTTTGGACAAGGTCCAAGATGAATTGTATACCATAGCAAATTGTGTATAACAAGACTCTCTTCTTTTTACAATAACATTTTCAACACAGCCTCCCAATAGATAATATCTACATAACAAGAAATTGAAGGCACTTTCTATTTCTCCGAATCATCTCATTCAAACCATATAACCATGAATTTCCTGGGTATTTGGCTTTAAAATACTGTATCACTATAAACTTTAAATTTAAGCCCTGGGTAGGTCTACGTTCATTTCAGCAGAAGCATCTTAGAATGTTGAATTATCATCTTCAATTTCCTTCAGTCATTTATTGTAGCTGCCAAACTGAAATGCTGTGCCTTAAAGGCAACACTGAACTGAAAGCAAATAATAAAAAGTCTCTTAAATGTTTCATTTATAAAAGCTTATTCTTCCCATCAAATTTTGTGCACTGTCTGAAATATATCACTTTACAAAATTGACATCTTGCATGCACTTATTCTGCCATGATACATTTGCTAACTTCAAGGAAAAGGGGGCGGTGCTCACATCGTTTTCCAACCCTTTATGAACAGATGAGCAATACAGAACTACGATGGTTTTGGTTTTAGCCTTTTGGGGTGGGGGAGAGGTACGGAATTAAAATTAAACCTCAACTACCAATAGATATCACTATAGCTATCTCCTTTTCTGGATAGCTTTACTGGCTATATCAAAAATTATTCCATAAAATAAACACTTTAAAAAGGTACACCAAGTCAGAGGGTGGCTGCTCCAAAGAGTGGTTTATGACAGCTCACTCTAATAAGAAAACGAATCTACAAACCAAAAACATACAAAGCATTTCTCGAAATCCTGCTCTCAGCAGTCTAACAGCAAATTAATCAAGTAGAACAAATCCACAGAATTCTATTATAAAGCCCTGTATACTTTTCTCCCTGACATAATTGTCAATGACAACTATAAAATGCTAATATGTAAAATAAACAAAATATGGTTTGTATTTCCAAAACTAAAGATTTTCAGACCAGGATACAGGGCAAAGGAAATGTTTTTGTTTAGTAAAGTACATTCAGGTCACATTTATATAAAACAGGTTGCTACCAAGGTCATCTGGTAAAAGAACCACTGAATTTATCTGAACAAGTTTACTAACTATGCCACGAAGGGAGAAAATGAGACGCCAGTGCTTTTTCTTCTCTTTATATATCAAACTTAGCTATTACATGACAGTCAGAATCACTGTTCAAATCTTTCTCAGTTAATGTCACTTTGCAAAGCCAGAATTTCTGATAATTTTTTGCATAAAGTTATAGTTTAACTGTGTCATAATTGATTCCTAAAGCACCTTTTTCTCCAACCTACTTAAGAAAAATGTATCTATATTCAATACATTGCCCATTTTTGAAGCATTTCCTACATTTGTAGCCAATTTTCAAAGCCTTATTTAGAAATAATGCCAATCCATTTCTAATAGCTAAGCAGAACAATTTTTTAATCTGCAGGGTATCTTAAAAACCAATCAACTTGCCATAACCTCCTAATTCCAGGAATCATAATTCAAGCTTCAATTTTCCTCTTAACATACTCTACTTTACTAAAATGAATTCCCATCCTGCAACTATGAACAAGAAAATTGTACTTAAAATATTAGAAGACAAAATCTCATTATTTAGTATTAGATTAATAGTCTATAATGCTAACCTTAAAAATATCTATAGCTATAACCTCTCCAACTTGTTAATTCCCAAAGAGATTAATAAAAGGTGTGATTAACATCGAAACGTATAGCAGACTGTCATTCGGAAGGAACCACGCTAACAATAACCACACCACCGTCAGAGATCAACTCTTCACCCTTCATGGTTCTGACTAAGGTTAATGAGCACAATTTGTCATAAATTTTCTGGTAACTCTGAAAAACTGAATTGAACAAAAAGATTTTTTTTCATAACACTTTTATAAAAATAAAGGCTGGAGTGGTCTTATTTAGAACCCAGCACAGTATTTGACAATGTAAATGTCACTAAATATTTGTGAAATGAATAAACAATAAGCACCTAATGCACTATTGCCATTCAGCTCCTTATTATGTGCTAAGTATTTAAAATTACATATAATAAAATGGAATATACTCAAACTATTTTTTATTCCTAATAAAGATTGACTTATTCATGTAAGAATCTCCTAAAAATTTAACAGACTGTAGAGTTGGACTTTCACAAATCAATAAGTTGGCTAATGATTTTCTTTAACTGTATGACATTTTAACTTTTTTTCTTTATGAAATTAGAGAACATATGGAAATGCAAGTTATAAGTTTCTTTGCAATAAATAAGGCCAACGTAGACTACACTTGATTTTAATAATTTATTTCTCTCATGAAGAAATTATTTTTAAAAAGCCAAAAATTTGAGAGAATGAAAATGAAAAGAGTGAAATAACTATAAATTTTCTTCCACTTCAAAAATTGTCTGACATCTGAGCCAGAAGACTTTCTGCTTCTATCAGTGACTTCCTCTTCATGTGTCATAGAAAGAGTTCAACATGTTTTATAAAATCCATTATATTTTAGACCATTTCCAATACATGCTACCGTAAATCAAGAAAACCATTTATTCAAGGTTACTTACGGAGAATTAATCACATAGAAAATTTTAACAACTTCTTTTTCAAAAATTAAAGTACTTTACTGTACTTGGCATTCCTACACATAATGATGTGGATTCAAAGACTGAAAGCATTAAGGGAATATAATTAAAATTCATGGGTTAGACATAAAAAATAATTTTAACACATAGAATTCTCTGTAACATATATTCTAGAAAAATAAATCAGAATATAAATACAATGTAATCTCATTTGGATTTCTCCTCTGCTTGAGTGGCATTATATAACATAGAATGTTGTTCCAAACACTTGTATGTACATTATGTAGCCTCAGAAACATGTAATCAAATAATCTGGAAAAGTGAGACCAAGAGAACTGTGGGCACTATGCATCAGGAACAAAAACACAAATTTCTATATTACTGATGATTTTTAAAACCTATCTTCCTAATTTCAAGAGCAAGTTTACTCAAAAGAGAAAAAAAACTGGTCAGCTAAGCAACATTTACAGTCTTTATTGACAGGATACAGCCGTTATACCAAAATTCAGCCATTAAATGGCTGAATGTTTACTTTAAATGGGACACAGAGGCAAAGTGCCAAAATTAAAGTACAATCTTAAAGTGTTAAATTCACACTTCAAATATCAAAATAAGCAATTCTAAAATCATGAAAATATGGTCGAATAACTACACAGGAAAAAAATGGGACATTCAAGCCATTTCATTTTTTCTTATATATAGTGAAAAAAGATGTATTTAAAACTTCGACCTTCAGATAGCATACTTCATAAAGTCATTATTCACTTAAAATAAACAAATGTTTACAAAGAACATTTAACTTAAATTTCACAGTTGCTTCTGTCAAGAGAGATGGTAAACTATAAATATAAAATGTACCACAATGTTAAAAACCTCATAGTGCTCTATAGGAAAATCAATGAAGATAACTTAATCTTTCTGGGGGATAAAAGTATTTAGCATTACAAATTTAAATGTAAATTTTATAAATGAATTCAATAAGGAATACATTTAAACTTTGCATTGCCACATAATCATCTATTTTGTGTAAAACAATAAAATGTATTTTTTGAACAAGTGTACATCAAAACCAAAAGGTTAGTTTTTGCTTTTTCCTTTATTGGCAACTTTGGATGCATTTTTCGGTTTTGGTTCCCAGAGGGCATTTTTTACAAATCTTGAAGCTGCACCTCTGTCCAGCTTGCCAGCCTTTTTCTTGTCTGTTATTTCCTTGACTCTGTTCATGTATACTCTGATTCTTTCCTTAAAGATAAAAAAAAAAAGAAGAAAGGCAACAGATTTACTAAGCTGTTCACCACCACGAAGTTTATTATACTATTCCTCAGTTAAATTCAATAGGTATGTATTTATTGCCTGTTGAGTGGAGCTAGTAAGTGTAAGGAAACAGGATAAATTTGCTCCGTGCTCTCCTGGGATTCACAGTCTGGGGAAAAAGAGACATTAAAGCCATTTCAGAAGTATTCTGAGTGTTTCAAAAGAGAGAGAACTAGACTAAGACATCACTACAGAGGTAAGCACTGACCTGTTTAGAGATGTGTTTATACATTCTTTACTTAGCATTAACCTAAATCCATATATTAACTCTTACTACCTGAAGTCTACAATCTAAAATAGAGCTCTTATATACTTGTAACATACAAACTCAACTCGTAAAATTTTTCTAAACAGGAAATAAATGAAGCACGATTTATTTATTTTTTTATGTTACTTTCTAGTGTCACAATTAAAATACACAGAATGAAAATACAAGATCTTTTATTCAATCTCATAACTGTGATTTTGATAAGCACATATTTTTTTAATGACATATACAGTTCTAAACAGATTTAACGAGATGAGAAACATAATAGGTTGTCATACCATTAAAATCTTCTGAGACCACTAATTGGAATAAAGGACTATTCTATACTTCAATTGGAGAAATAAACGTGATGAGAGCCACAAAATAGCACAGTAAATGATGGATCACTATTTTAAAATAATCAAAATAGTTATATAAACATGCACAAAAAATGCAGAACCGTAGAATTTTTTTAATTGTAAAAGACTAACAACTCTGCTCAAAACTCTCTCGTGGCTGCCTACTTCTCTTAGAGTAAAAGCTCAAGTCCTCCCAACACAGACCCACTCCCGTTCTGCCTAGAAAGACCTTCCTCAAACACCCACACAGCCACACCCTCCCTTCCTTCCAGTCAGTCAAACGTTGACCTGGGTAACTGGACCTGCCACCACCGTTCAAAACCACAGTCCGACCCAACCACTCTAATCACCTCTGCTCTGCGCTCTATTTAAATTGTTTCCCATAACATACAACTTTCTAACATACTATCTATTCATATTTATTTATTATTTGTTTGTTGTATTATGTTGATAGTTTGTCTCCCTCCACTAGATAGTCTGGTATCTGCCACAACAAGGGCAGAGATATTTACAAGCTTTATTCACTGAAGAATCACCTCACTTGGAAATAATGCCTGGCTCTTAGCAGCACTCAAATATTTGTTGAATGAGTAAACTGATTATTTTCAATGCTTCTCCCCATTCATGATATACGTCTCACACACTAACTCTGTGATCAATTAGTGATGTCTGTCATAGGGTTAGAAAAGAACAGGTTTGTATGCTTTTTATTTGTCAACTCTTGTCCAAAATATGAATGTACTCCTCCATAAAGTGGGTTCTGAGGGAGAAAGAAGACAGATGAGTTTATCTTTTTCCAAAGACAGAACCAAGTATTAAAATATTCCAAATTACTTCGTGTTAAAGGAAAATTGAGAAATTTTATAAATGTAAAGTCCATATTAGAAAGCTGAAAACACATGACACAATGTATAATTCTTAGGACTGAAAGCCAGTATCACTGCTCGAATCAAGATCTAGGTATCATATAGCTTTATATTTTTGCTGTAAGTATTTTTCACAATTTCTGTATTTAAAAATAAATTTATTATCCCCAAAGAACTTTAAAAGAAGAAAATGTCTTAGTCTACACATTAAGAAAATGAAGACAACAGATCCGGTTTGCTCATTTTTTAAAAATAAGTGACCAAGTACTTTACTAAGTTGTATATAACATACATATCAACTACCATATGACCTGAGAACAATAATACAGTGTCAAGTGTATTTCACATATATATTTACCTTATATTTTATAAACACAAATTTATTAATATTCTTATTCATAAACAAGAAGATAACCATAAGTTTGATTTCTACTTTTTCTCTTTCAAATTGAATGATTTGATTTAATTTTTGAAGTCAGCAAAAACTCTAAGATACTAGGCCTTATATACTGTACTTATACATCTAAATGGAATACAAAGACAAACCTAGAAGATTTATTACAGGTTGTAAATATGTCACTAATGCGGAATTACTGGACAGTACACATACAACTGGTGCCAAAAAAGCTTTTAGCTTTGTTGCTGAACTGGATTCTTTACTGCTGAGAAAATGAATTAATGGAAGAATTGAAAAGGTGGGGGAAAAATTTTCCCGTCTTTGCTAGTAAATCAACTAGAATATACTTTTAAAAAGTGTGTAAGAGTTTTTTTTTTTTAAAGGCAGTTATAGAGATGAACAAGATTTCAAGAATTTATAGGAAAAATAATATGGAAGTTATAAATAATTACTAGAATTGTAACATTTTCCCCATACAGAGATTTATGTAATATATGGAATACCAATTCTCTAACAAAGGTAAGAAAAAGAAAAACTAAAGACATGATGAAATCTGACTCACTTTCATAATTTCAACTCTAAATAATTTTGTTCTCCACAATTACTGTAACTTAACTTCAGGTACACTACCACAGACAGACATGTGAAGTAAAAAGAAACCCACTGCAATCTTACCAGTTCCTGCTTTACTGGATGCTCCTTAGGGTTAACTCCCTGAGTGGCCAAATAAACTACAAGAGAAAGAGTTCATGAAATAAAATGCTGTATGTATTAATTAAGAGCATTAATTAAAGAAGTTCTAGTTATTCACAGAAAAAAGAAGTCATACAAACGATAGATTAAATCTTAAATTATTCAATCTCTAAGTAATAATAAATGTATGTGTGGCTCACAGGCATCTGGTATTCTGATTTAAAATAAATAAATATCTGACTATTAAAATTGCCATGAAGTATAATTGTATATAAATTGCTAGCATTTTAAAAAATAAATCACCTTTGACACAGTAATTTGCTTTCTAATTAACTCCAAAGTAATATACGTACCCCAAAACATTGAATTTAATGTGTAAGCAGAAACTAAATCCACTTTTGCTTGTTCAAGTGGGTCCAACTAGAGAGAGAGAAATACAATCTTTGAGCACCATCACATCATATTTTAAACTTTCACCAAGCCCAAGATATCAAAAAAATTTTTTTTTCACTCCCATAATCCAATAACCAAATGATCTGGAAATAATTTGCAAAATGACGAAGTTTTGTTAACCAGTGATTTTTGCCCACAAATTTTCAATTCAGGGTATCATCTTTAGTTAGACAAGGAATGTGTATAATCCAAGAAAAATTCTTTTGAATTATTTTAATTTCAGGAGTTACAATCTGGGCTTTGTATGTCAAAAGTAATTTATCAATATAAACATTGTACATGATGCATTTATGTATAAGAAGCAGGCTAAAATGCGTAGGCAATACCAAAGACAGAAGAAACAAAATGAGATTTGTTTTCGACTGTCAAAGTCAATTTACTTTTTGTTCTATAGTTTCCAGAAACCCTGATAACATCATTGTAATACTTAAAAGGTCAAAGATAGCGCCTGTCGTAAAGAAGTGCTCCTTTTTCTGCAGAAACAAGTCAAAATAAAAACAGTTAAGAAATATTTCCTAAAGTTGCTTTGTTTTGTTTTACCCCCTAAAAATACCCAAAAACACTTATAAAATTGAAATAAAGGGGGAAAAGAGCATATATCATTAATCAACTTCTATATGTTCCCTAACACAGCACTCGGTTTTGCAAGTTATATTTTTCAAGTACCTTCTGCAACAACTCATTTCTAGAAACAGACATCATGGTCTTCAGCATCTCATCTACGGCACCAATAGAATTCTCGAATGTTGATAAATATTCATGAATTTCTGCTGGATAGTCTTCATTAATTTCTTCTCCTGCCATTATGACCGACTAGAAAAAAAGTAAATTCTTAGAATTCATATTAGAGACAAAGACTGCTCTACAGGTTACCAAAAAATATATATATATCAATATGTCACGTGTATTTCAAAAGTGCTAAAGGAGTTAAAACCTGAGGATAATTAAACAGATCTTAGAATATAATTCTAGAGCAAGTACATTCAAATTTCCCCTCTTCTTAAGTTGCTTGGGGATGATGGGATTGGGGAGGAGGTGAGGGAGGAACAGACCCGCCCAGTCAACTAATGTACACATATCAAACCCTCAGTGCTTTTTAAGAAATAAAGACATGACTGCCAAACATAAAATATCAATAATCAAAATCTACATTTAAAAAACTTTCTGTTTACGTTAAAGACCAAGCAAAGCAATGAAGGTGCCATAAGTATATCCCCTAATGCTTGCTGAAAAAATGATAAGCAAAACTTTTTTTTTTTTAAAGTTTATATATTTTAGCCCTTCTAAATTTAAGTGTTGATCTAGCAGCATGGTATATTAAACTTAAAAATGAGAAATGCTAGGTCTGAAATATCTTATGATTTTTAACCACTAAAATCATTTTCAAGCCTATGTTTATATTTATATGAACATTCCTTAGATTTCTTTAAAATAGTAATAAGAAATTCTAAGAGTTCATAAATCACATGAAGCAGAAAAGAGGAAACTTGGGAGAAATAAACTATATGGTTTTCACTTAGGCTAGAGCACACCTTGACAGTTCATTCTTTTAAAATTCACATTTATATCATAATATTTACTTCATATGTTATCTAAGACCAAATTTCAGAAGCAATTCTAAGCACGTGTACTATCTTTAGGTTTAAAATTTTTTTTTTATTAGCTAAAAATACCTCTTTCGTTACATAGCTAAGGAGAACAGCAAGAATGTGTAAAATAGCAAATAGCACTGCAGAACTGAAGTAACAAGATTTGGGCTTTTTGTCTTGCTTGACCACTGACTGTCACCTTAGATAAATCACTGTATCTCTCTTGGTCTCAAATACCTCATCCATAAAATAAGGCAGTTGGTCTAATGATCTGTAAAGACCTTCATAGTTCTAAATGTTATGACTATGTCATTTAAGTTTAAAAAGTACTTTTTGAATATTTAGTCACAATATATCAACATTTCTATTCAAAGAGTATATATTCCACTGAGACATCTGGGTTCGCTTAAAAAAAAAAAAAGTGAAGTTTATCTACCACTATTTGTGCCGTAACGTTACTGTCCAACTACTGTACAACCTGCAATTAAAGAACTATGATAAAAGAAAACCACACAGGAAAAGAATTGTGCCTTCCTATTTCAAAAGGCTAACTAAAAATATGTATTTGCCTCTCATCTCTCCCAAAAATCTCTCCAAAATGGTAGAAGAAATATAAAAACAAGCCCATAGTAATGCTGGAAACTCAGAGGGGCACATCCCATCAGCAGACCTCAACAGTAGAAATTTGTATGAGCTAAAGAGAAAATCGGATCGGACTGAAACACACCAAGAAGCCTCCGACTCCTTACAAACAAAAGGGGAGAATCTAGAAGTAACCCCAAGATGAAGGGCAGTAAGAGCTGGGCCATGAGGGCTAAAAATAGCTAACCCAATCTCTAGAGCTGTGAAAAGACTGCTCCAGCATCTGCAGCCAAGATAAAGGTGTACGTACAAGAGTTATACTGCAGATAGAGAAATGACTCAGTATTTCTTCTCTTCATGTAAAACCATAAACCAATAAATTGGAAAATATGGATAAAAAGAACGAGGTGCTGGAAAAAATAATCATTTAACAAAACTAACCTAAAAAGAAGTACATAAACCAAATAGACAATTCATCACAGGAAAAAAATTTAAAAGAAGTCGAAACATCTACCTTCCAAAAGGGATCCAAGCCTAGAAGCTATTATATGTAATTTTTTCCAAACATTCAAGAAACAGTTAATTCTTATGGTATTTAACTGGTTAAGAACACAGGAAAAGATGGAAAACTTAGACACCTATTTCATAACACACTTAAAAATAAACTCCAGATGAATTTTAAAAGGTAAATAAACATATTAAAAGAGTATATAAAATATTTATATAATCCAAATGAAACCCAAATGCTATAATAGGAAATGGCTTAACTGCATAAAACTGAAAAAACATCTACACAGTAACGTAAGCAAAGTTAAAAGAAACAGCCTAGGAAAAAATATTTGCCAAAATATAACAAGGATTAGTTAGATTATACAGAGTTCCTACAAAGCATAAAACAAATTAAAATAAACTATCAGCCATCAGATTGGCAATAATTTTAAAGATTATCAAAGTTCAATATTAGAAAGGTATACACTGAAGGTAGAATATAAGTCAGTACAGATTTTTTAAGTGTACATGACTCAGGAAATCCTCTTCAGAATCTAGTCTAAAGAAATCCTCGTAGACATGTATATAAATTCATCAAAATGGGACTCCTCAAACTCTTTGAATTTCCCCCACTTTCTCTTTCATCTATTTTCGCTCTGCTGGATCATTACCCATAAAGCTCAACATTTTATTTCTCCATCTTAGACAAGAAACAAACGAGACTTCTTGACTTCATATCCCACTCCAGCTAAAAGCCCTATTTTCAACCTCCTTTCTAGAACGAACTCCTCTAAAGAGTTTCTCTCCATTCTTAAATCTACTACAAACAAGCCCCCTATTTCTTACTCAAAATTGCTCTTGTCAAGGTCACCCACAGAGCTACAGTTAAGTTCAATGGTCAAGTCTCAGTTCTCATCATCTCATATCCTTGACTCCCTTTGTTTGGTTTCTAGAGCATCACATTTTCTTGGTATCCTTCCTACCTCACCAGCTGATTTCTTGGTCATCTTTCTCATATCCTCAGCCTCTTAACCTTGAAGTGTCCCAAGGCCTGTACTTGATTCTCTTTTATTCTATTTACTTCCTAGGTGAGCTCGGTGTTTTAAACTTCATTAATAAAGTGATGATTCCCAAGTTTGTATATCCAGGTCTGACCTCCCTCACTGAACTCCAAATTTACATTTCCAACGCTTGCTCAATACCTGTGGTTGGATGTTAACAGATTCTAAAGCATAATGTGCCCAAAGCCGAATTCCAAATCTTGCCTACTGCAGTCTTTCCCATCTCATTCCATGGTAACTCCACATTTCCAATTGTTCCTAAAATTTCAGAGTGGTCCTTGACTCTTTTCTCTCACTCTATCTTTAAAACATATTCAGAATCTAGCCTCATCCTGCCACCTCTACTGCTACCACCCTGGTCCAAGCCAGTCCAAGCCATCTTTGTGCCTTGCCTAGACTGTTGCAATAGCCTCCTGTATGGCCTCCATGTCTCCAGCTCAATAGTTCATCATCAAGAAAGAGTGATCATTCAAAATCTAAGATTATGTCATGCCTCTGCTCATATACTTCCACAGGCTTGCCACCTCACTCAGAGTAAAAGTCAAAGTCCTCACAATGCCCTAAAACGCTCAATACAATCTGCCTTCTCTGCTGCCTTCTGTGACCTCTGCGGCTCCTACTCTTCCCCTTGCTCATTCCACTGCAGCCACAAATGGCATCATTGCTCCTCGCCAATCACATCAGGATCTTCAAGCTTCTTCTCCCCTTCCTAGAATGTTCTCCTCCTTCTTTCCTCCCCCACCAATAGCTTCAGAGCTTATGACTACCTGCCGGTTCTTTACTTAAATATTACTTATTAGTAAACCTTTCCCAATTACCCTATTTTCATAAACACGCCCTACTCCTCATGCCCTGTACTCCCTATCTCTTTCTCTACCTTTAAACCCTCAAAAACATCTGATGTATTTATTTCATTCACTGTCTGTCCACCTCTAAAGATGGTAACTACATGAAGGCAGGAATTTTTACATTTTGTTCACTAGCTCTGTCTGGCATTCAATAAACATGCTGAATAAATAACCTCTAATAAAATACTAGACATATCTAAATATTCATCAAGAGGAAAATAATTAAAAGAATTATATCATATCCATCCAAAAGAATATTAAAAGAAGTAAATCTTTATGTGGTAATATGAGAAGTAGTGAGGAAAGTCACAGAACACTGTATATAACATATAATGTTTCTTAACATATGCCACTCATTTTTAAAAACCTGTGTAGCTACATAGAAAAAGATCTAGAAGAAGACATAAAATGTAGACATTCTCTCTGAGCAGGGGCATGGATTAGGGAGTAGGATCAAAGCAGACTCATTTTTTAACTCTTCGTTCTTTAAGTTTTATTTCAAAATTCATGTATTAAATGTGTAATAAAAATAAGTAATCATGATACTTTTTTTAAAGGCATCTTTTAGCAAAGTATTTTGGCTTTTAACAAATACTCAAGTATAAAAAACATAAAAAGACCTTTATTTAAATGTTAATTTTTCATCCAATTTTTGTTAGAAATATTTTCTCTTTCTAGAATCATAATGTGGATTTTTCCTGCAATTATTCCCTGTCCCTAAGCCCCAATAAACAAGTAGTTATTTATTGTTAAAATGGGTTAAGATGAACACTGAAAGCAAGGAAGGAAGAATAATTATCCCCATTAAACCTGAACCGAACCACCCGCCTTTTACCTAACTAAGTAATAAAGGCAAGGCAGACTAAAACATAAAGGTTCTATTATCAGAAATTCCCCCCAATTCTAACATTTTACATATACAGTTCCTGAATATTGGTTCCTTCCACAGGAAAAGTCGCAGGGGGAGCTGCAGAAACATCCCTCTGTTCTCTTTGTTACTGGGACCCCAGGATGAAGCAGTGAATGTGTGGTATTAACAGCAATAGCAGACATTTCAACACCATTCCTTACCAGCCAGGCGCTATTCTAAGCACATCACCCACGTTAACTCATCTACTCCTTGCAGACAAGAAACTGAGCCACTGTGAGTTTCGATAACTTGTCCAAGGTTGTATAAGGTAAAATGCCAAAAGAGAAAGAATTCACACACCTCTGCTCCTCACTCCCCTCCAGGGTTCTATAGG